TATATTCTAACGCGTTAACATGTGCGTTTTTTATGATTCTTATCTTCATTAAAATTGTACATGTATTTTAATATGTACTTTTTGTCTGACTGTACTGACTAATATCTCAAATTTAGTACAATATTTTTTTAAAAATAACTTCGCTAGTAATTCATCAAACACTCATTTCTATAACATATATAAAAACGAGTGAAATCGATGATTAGTAATTCATTCATTTTTATATGAAAGCAGATTATCGGTTATATGAGCTGACTCATAAATACATTCTTTTCTTTCTTCTTCTTCTTGAAATTTCTATCAGACACACGATAGTAAGATAAATAAGAAACATGCACACGTATAGAATAGTAAAAAAAAATATATGTTAGTTGTATTTTATAGTATACTATGACATCGGTTATAGTTATTGGTATAATTACTTGCTTAGTTATTGGTATTAGTACTTTATTCGAATATTTTTTCTCATTATTTCGAATAATTTTCAATAAAGTGATAATACCAACAGGTGCAGTTGAAATCGATTCAAAAGAACATATTTATGCACATCCTGATTATACAAATGGCCTATTAGATTTATCATCATTTGGTATAAAAACAGTATATGATGCTATTTTACACGGTATTCAATTGGGTGGTAATCGACCACATTTTTCATTTCGACAATCATCCGATCAACCATATAAATCCTATACTCATAAGTAAGTAAAATAGAAAATTAAAATCTATTTTCTTTTCTAAATATTATAGACAAGTATTTGAAATAATCAAAGAAATTGGTAGTGGAATAGTTAATACTGGTTTGAAACCAGCAAATGAAACATTTTTTGGTATTTATGGATCATCATCGATGAATTATGCCTTATGTCTTTATTCAGCTTGGCCATATTCAATGGTTCCAATAGGTATTTATGATTCACTTGGTCGAGATGGTGTTAAATTTATCATAAGTCAAAGTGCAGTTGAATTAATATTTGTTGATGATTTACAACGTATTGAAAATTTAATTGAATGGAAAGATGAAATCTTAACATTGAAAACAATTGTTTGTTTTATTCAACCAACAGATCAATTAATAAAATTAGCTAATGAAAAACAATTAAATCTGCTTACACTTGAACAATTAAGAGAAATGGGTCGAAATAATCCAATTGAATTAGTACCACCAAAACCAACTGATACAGCAGTTATTATGTATACAAGTGGAAGTACTGGAGAACCAAAAGGTACGAAAAAAATATATATATATATTATTTGATTCTAAGTTTTTTTTTGTCAATATAGGTTGTGTTGTTAGTCATGAAAGTTTTATGTGTGGAGTATGTGCAGTGCTCTTTTCATTGGATATAATAAATACTGAAGATATTCCTCGAGTTTTAAATTATATGCCATTAGCACATGTATTTGGTAGTGGAACAATTATTGGTATAACTTATTTAGGTGGAGAAATTGGTTTTTGGCAAGGTAAAGTCGATAAATTAATGGATGATTTTCATGATTTTCAACCGACACTTCTTGCAATGGTTCCTCGTTTATTAAATCGATTATATGATAAAGTTCGATCAGATTTATATAAAAAAGGTTTTCTTGGTCGTATTTTATTTCGATTATCAATTTCAAATAAATTATTATTGATTCAACGTGGAAATTTTTCACAAAATACCCTATGGGATAAAATTATTTTTAATAAAATTCGTCAATCATTTGGTGGAAGACTCAATCGTATTATGTCAACAGGTGCACCACTTTCATCTGAAGTTTGTCAATTTTCACGTGCTGCATTTTCATGTTTTTTTATTGAATGTTATGGACAAACAGAATGTATTATTATTTGTTCACAAACAATAAATGATATGCAATCAGGTGAAACAGGTATTCCAACACCAGTTACACATCTGAAATTAGTTGATGTACCAGAAAAAGAATATTATGCTAAAAATGGTGTTGGTGAAGTTTGTATAAGAAGTCAAACTTTATTTAAAGGTTATTTAAAAGATGAAGAAAAAACGCGTGAAGCAATTGATAAAGATGGATGGTTACATACAGGTGATATTGGTCAATGGACAGCATATAAAACAATGAAACTTATTGATCGAAAGAAAAATATGTATAAGGTAAATCATACAACTAAAAAGTATTTATTTTTTTTATTTTTTTTTATCTATTTTATAGTTAAGTCAAGGTGAATATGTAGCACCAGAAAAAATTGAAGATATTTATGCACGTAGTCGATTTATTGCTCAAATATTTGTGTATGGTGATTCATTTGAAAATTTTCTTGTTGCTATTATTATGTTAGATGATGATTATGTAAAACAATGGGCAATTGATCAAGGATATGATATGCAAACAATAAGATCATTGAAATTGAATGAGAAATTAAAACAAGTTGTACTTGATGATATGTTACATGAAGGTAAAAGACATGGTTTAATGTCATTTGAACAAGTTAAAGCAATTGAATTTATTAACGAACCATTTACAATTGAAAATGGACTTTTAACACCAACATTTAAAGCACGTCGATATGCTATAGAAAAGAAATATAAACAACTTTTTCAAACAATTTATAAAAATATGAAACAGTGAAATTTTTTTTCTATTGATCTTACAAATTTTTTTACAATAAAACTGTTGTTGTTACTTACAAATGAAACATATATATGAAGGAGCAATAATTGATACTAAAAAAAACTTTTTTTTCTTATGGAGATATGAAATGTCCCTTAGAAGGGACATTCGGCTCTTAAGGGTTAAATGAAAGATTTCAGAGGAGATTTTTTTCTTTCAACGGCTTCAATCACGTCAAAAACATTAATGTATATAGTGACTGTTAACCATGTGTGTTACTGGTATTTGAAAAGGAAGTAAAAAGAAAATGATAACAATGTTTTTCTCATTGAGTCTCTTAAGCAAAGGAAAGAGAACGATATAAAATACAAAGTAAAACAAAACGTTTATCTTGTGTCAATAACGAAAGATTACTCATTTTGTTGGTAATTTTTTCTATACAAAAGGTTTGTGGAGTAGTTATTGAATAACAAGTTATATTATCACTTAGATTTTCTATTCAATGTCGACAGCAGTAAGATTAATAATGAAAGAATGGAAAGCTTTTGAATACAATGCACCTGATTATATATTTGCTGGACCAATGAAGAATGATATATTCCATTGGCATGCAATAATTATAGGTCCACCTGATACGCCGTTTGCAGATGGTATATTCAATCTCGATATTATTTATTCTTATGAACATCCATTCAAACCTCCAAAATGTACAATGAAAACAAAAATGTTTCATCCAAATATTTCTTCAACTGGTAAGATATCTATTAGCATTTTAGAAGATGACTGGCGTCCGGTATTTACGATTGAAAAGATTTTACTTTCTATATCATCCATTCTTGATACTCCTATCATGGACCATCCTATCAATCGTAAAGCTGCGCGATGCTTTAGAGAAAATCGTAACACATATAATTCAATTGTTCGAAAATATACATCTAAATATGCCAATGGATCTTCTACTGATAGTGATAATGAACAAGATCTTCTTCCAGAGATGTTACATACAGATACTGATAGTGAAAATGAGCAAGATCTTCCTCCAGAGATATTACATACAGAAACAAATAATTCTCTGTTTGATTTTTTATGTTTTATTCTGATTTTTTTGGGTATATTAGATCTTATTCTTGATTTTTATACATTTTTCAAATAAAAATAAAAAATCATACGATAAAAACATCGTTTCTAATTCATAGTTCATCTAATGAACAAAAAAAATGATGTTTTCTGTTGATATAGAGATATGTTTTATTTACAAAAAGTACCACAGACACACGACATATTCATTTTTTCAGTTAATCCCTCAAACTTAAGTAGCTACACGAAATAGTTTCAATAATTCTTTCCGAAAAATGGGACCACATAACGTATAGAGATAAAAGGTAATTGAATTGTTGAGAAATAAACTAATCAATGACAGATTGTATATTGTATTTTCAATTGATTGACGTACTATAGATTTTGTTTGGTAGATTGTTGCCACTGCATACAGTTTGTAGAAACTGATTGGAAATGCCGAAATAACATAGACCGACACCTATAAAAATAAACGAATGGTGGCTAGCTTTTTTTATATTCCTCCCTTTTGTCGCTTACTTGTACAAGTAGCATTTTTACTAACTGTATATCACGTTTCTGTGCTCTTCGCTTGATTTCTGTGAGAACTAAATTATGATTTTGTTGATTTGATATGTTCGTTAGTTGATGCAATGTAATGGATTGATTTGGGTTTGCTGTTATAATATTTGGAATTGGTATACTACCTGGTTGTGTTGCAGCTATACGACGCCGTTGGTTACGAATATTTCTTAACGTTAAAGAACTAAAAACCGCCATCATACAAATAGGTGCTAGAATTTCGAATAAAAACTGAAATAGACTATCCACAATTTGACAAGAAATATTCTTTTTTAGTTGATAACATGGTTGTGGTGCACCTAAGATTTGTTGATTGGTATCTATGCAATAGAATTGTTGAGCATATACTATAAAACCTATTAGAATAACAAAGATCATCGACATATAGGCACGTTTCATTGTGAGTAATTGTCTTCTGAAGGTGCTTGTTGATGAAGCGAGATATCGTTCAATGCAAGCTAAACTAATAAACCAAATAGCTGCTGTTGCTGAACTATATGTGGTGAAAAATCTCAATTTACAAAGTGCAGATATTGTTTGCGACGGATCAATACCAAATCCATTGAGAGTACGAGATAAAAGACCAGCAAACATTATTATACCATCGAAAACAGTTGATGCCAAAAAGTAATTGGCACAAATATTAGCACGAAATACTGGCCGTGTAAATACCAATATATTGAGAATATTTCCGATCATACCAAAGAACATGAGAAGTATAGGAAAATATCGATTAATTATTTGATTCAGTAAGACAAAGTTCACTGACGAAGTATTACCCATATTTTATCTCTGAAACGCAAAAGATATGAATATAAGAAAGCATGAAGTTTTTCTGTTTATTTAATAGAACATATGGAAATGACATAAAACTCGATATATTCTACATAACTGAAAAAGGCTTGTAACATTTTATATACGAATATAACAGATTAAATGTCATCCAAGTCTGGGATAATCAGAGAAAATCCAAGTATAGAATCAAAGTGTCGCATCAAAAAAGATAATGAGCAGAAATTACTATAAATAAAAATACACGGAATAGATAGTACTTGAGAACTTTTTGCGTTGGCGACATAAATATGATCCGAGAAAATTAACGTTTTTCATATATTTAACATTGTTTGACAGTCGAATAAAGGAAGAAAAATTTTAATTCTTCTTTTAAAATCCATTGGCACTATGCAAAAACGGATTTACCCAATCAGATAAACGTTAAAATATAGTTTTCCTTTTTGAAGAAAAAGCAAGTTTGTACGCTTGTCTGACTAAATACCTGACTTTGTCGAGAAATCTGTCAGCCATGTGTCTGAATGAGAAATAACGAGACGCTTATTTCAAACGTTCGCCTCATTAATACTGCTGAAAATACATCAATTTGACCTTCTTTGTAGTTGCTCTTTTTTTACATAGTATATCAAATAAAGTGCATAATTGATAACTTTCATTTCGTTTGTTAATATCGAAACAGTTTATATTTACCTATTTAGGATTGAATAATCGACAGAACACACAAGTGTGGATGTGTATCATCTCTTAACCTATCTGATCTTCATTATACTCATGTGAATTAAGAGTAATAAACGCTAATAAAAAATGTCTCCATTATATAACAAATATAGATGTATATGGGAAATACATAATAGTATTCATTATGATAATATATTTGCATGTGTGAATTGTAATGATTTTATTGCTGGTACCACTTATTCAGGAATTGCATATTGTAATAAATGTGTTAAAGAGAAAATAGTATATATCAGATACTACGTCAGATATAAGTGTAATCAAATGATGATTCTATTACTGATTTAGTGAGACTTTTGGTTTGAAAAGAAGAAATTCCTTTATGAAACTTAGTACTGAAATAATCCAAATCATTAAATAAACTGCCTATTGAGTTTTAATAGTTCAAATGTTTCTTTTTCAAGTTCGTTGATGTTCTAAAGTAGCAGTTTTCCAAGTTTACTCCTCAATATGCCAGCATTATTAAAAGCAATGAAAATGAATATTAATAATATTTCATATCACATTGTAATTTCTGTATACTTATAAACTTCTCTGGTTGATTTTTCCCAACAAAGTCCCTTATTCAATCTGTTTCTATCTCCTCGATACTACTTTCATTACTACTATATATGGTGTCTTCTTTATCGGATTCAAAGTATTTATTAATGACCGATAAGATATATTTATATTTATATTTTATATAGATTATTTTAAATTGAAAGTAAACAACTTAAAATACACAATAGTAGGATCAGTAGAGTTCCTATTTTAAACAACAATAATAATAATACGTTAGACAAAGGCTGTGGGTTTATCCCATTCATACTCACACCCACACCTTTCGTTGCATGTCTAATCTAAGATGAATCTCTTTCCAGAGTAACAGTTATACTGCGAATTTCGAGCTAAGCTCTGAGCATCATTGTCTCACTTATTCTCGATCTAATTTTGTGTCAAGAACTATAAAAGCTTGATGTTTTTTTGCAAGCTTCTTGACTAAAGTAAAGCACTATTTGTTATTGCAAAACGAAAAGAGAGAATGCATATTTTTTAAGTATCATTCTATAATGTAACATTATCTCGGACGTATATATTGAAGATCTGTTCTTATCTCTTACAAGCAGAGAAAAAACCCTTTCAAGATGAATAATAGTATTATCAGTTGAAAAGAAAATAACGAATTCTTACCAACTTAGACTATTCACGTTGTTTCTCACTCTTCCTACGTATATATAATAAAGCCTTCATTCAACTTTGTCTATAGTCCGTGAATCGATCGTCTTTTACGCCTTTCTTAATTTTACTAAGAAAAATCATTAGCAACATATACGTGAAAAGCAAGATAACAAGTGATTTGGGATTAGCCAAAGTCAGTACGTATTACTCGTCTCATACTCCTACTTTTTCTGCGGGTATGTCTGGTTTTAGGCAGATATGCACCAAGCCCAAACTGATTGA